TGTGATGACATCGTAATCATTATTGTCTTACCCTGAAGGTGACATCATCTAACATTTTCACTTGTAAGATGAACATGAATGGTACACAGTACCGACAAGATGAAGAATTGGAGACATGTGCAACATCTAGGTTTCTTTATTTGTTGACGTTTCGCCCTCCAGTGACTTTATAGTGTGAAGACTGTAGAACTATATACAAAAGATGAGGTAATCAGTCCCTCAGCCTTCTAAATTTCTCCATAAGGAAGAAAGTGAAACTTGTCCTTATTGAACATGATATTGATGTCAGTGGATGGGCTGTGTAAGGATGGTCTGGCTGTGTAAGGATGGTCTGGCTGTGTGAGGATGGTCTGGCTGTGTAAGGATGGTCTGGCTGTGTAAGGATGGTCTGCTGTGTAAGGATGGTCTGGCTGTGTAAGGATGGTCTGGCTGTGTAAGGATGGTCTGGCTGTGTAAGGATGGTCTGGCTGTGTAAGGATGGTCCGGCTGTGTAAGGATGGTCTGGCTGTGTGAGGATGGTCTGGCTGTGTAAGGATGGTCTGGCTGTGTAAGGATGGTCTGGCTGTGTGAGGATGGTCTGGCTGTGTAAGGATGGTCTGGCTGTGTAAGGATGGTCTGGCTGTGTAAGGATGGTCTGGCTGTGTAAGGATGGTCTGGCTGTGTGAGAATGGTCTGGCTGTGTTAAGGATGGTCTGGCTGTGTGGAGGATGGTCTGGGTGTGTAAGGATGGTCTGGCTGTGTGAGGATGGTCTGGCTGTGTAAGGATGTCTGGCTGTGTGAGGATGGTCTGGCTGTGTAAGGATGGTCTGGCTGTGTAGGGATGGTCTGGCTGTGTAAGGATGGTCTGGCTGTGTAAGGATGGTCTGGCTGTGTAAGGATGGTCTGGCTGTGTAAGGATGGTCTAGCTGTGTAAGGATGGTCTGGATGCGTAAGGATGGTCTGGCTGTGTAAGGATGGTCTAGCTGTGTAAGGATGGTCTGGATTGCGTAAGGATGGTCTGGTTTGTGTAAGGATGGTCTGGCTGTGTAAGGATGGTCTGGCTGTGTAAGGATGGTCTGGCTGCGTAAAGGGATGGTCTGGCTGTGTAAGGATGGTCTGGCTGCGTAAGGATGGTCTGGCTGTGTAAGTATGGTCCGGCTGTGTAAGGATGGTCTGGCTGTGTAAGGATGGTCTGGCTGTGTAAGGATGGTCTGGCTGTGTAAGGATGGTCTGGCTGTGTAAGGATGGTCTGGCTGTGTAAGGATGGTCTAGCTGTGTAAGGATGGTCTGGATGCATAAGGATGGTCTGGCTGTGTAAGGATGGTCTGGCTGCGTAAGGATGGTCTGGCTGTGTAAGGATGGTCTGGCTGTGTAAGGATGGTCTGGCTGTGTAAGGATGGTCTGGCTGTGTAAGGATGGTCTGGCTGTGTAAGGATGGTCTGGCTGCGTAAGGATGGTCTGGCTGTGTAAGGATGGTCTGGCTGTGTAAGGATGGTCTGGCTGCGTAAGGATGGTCTGGCTGTGTAAGGATGGTCTGGCTGTGTAAGGATGGTCTGGCTGTGTAAGGATGGTCTGGCTGTGTAAGGATGGTCTGGCTGTGTAAGGATGGTCTGGCTGTGTAAAGATGGTCTGGCTGTGTAAGGATGGTCTGGCTGCGTAAGGATGGTCTGGCTGTGTAAGGATGGTCTGGCTGCGTAAGGATGGTCTGGCTGTGTAAGGATGGTCTTGGCTGTGTGAAAAGGATGGTCCGGCTGTGTAAGGATGGTCTGGCTGTGTAAGGATGGTCTGGCTGTGTAAGGATGGTCTGGCTGTGTAAGGATGGTCCGGCTGTGTAAGGATGGTCTGGCTGTGTAAGGATGGTCTGGCTGTGTAAGGATGGTCCGGCTGTGTAAGGATGGTCTGGCTGTGTAAGGATGGTCTGGGTGTTCATGGGTGTTCAAGGATGGTCTGGGTGTGTGTACATCTGTGTACATCGCCCTGCCTTACATAGGTTGTACACAGTCCTGTCGAATAAGGAAGTGCATTGCTTATCGCCCACCTACTCAGCTACCCACCTACTCAGCTACCCACCTACCCATTCAACTATCCACCTACCAGTCCTCCCACACACCCTGTTCGCTCAACAGTAGTAGAACTGTTGCCATACACTGGGTTTATGGTAGTGTTCACTTTAAGATAAGAGATAAGATTTCGTTCGGATTTTTAACCCGGAGGGTTAGCCACCCAGGATAACCCAAGAAAGTCAGTGCGTCATCGAGGACTGTCTAACTTATTTCCATTGGGGTCCTTAATCTTGTCCCCCAGGATGCGACCCACACCAGTCGACTAACACCCAGGTACCTACTTGCTGCTAAGTGAACAGGACAACAGGTGTAAGGAAACGTGTCGAAATGTTTCCACCCTCCTGGAATCGAACCCAGGCCCTCCGTGTGTGAAGCGGGAGTTTTAGCCACCAGGCCACTTTAACTCTGCTCACCTTATTTGTTATGTATCAGAGATCAGAAGAAATCCCTCAGGTTTCGAAAAGGGGATTTACAAAGCGCTTATGTTCACAGCACCTGGGGAGGAGTCATGGAATTCTGTATTTTTTAAAGACGTGAAATTGTCACGATAGGTTAGTGTTCTTTGGAGGAGAGAAGATACAGTTAGCAGGACTCGATACTGCTACCGGGACGGGGAAGATTCCCGGGCAGCGTACCACCAGAAGACTTAGAGAGTGCATATATTGTTCCTTTTCACAAAGCAGACAGCAGATTCGTAGCTAAACGTTACGAGTGCCCCCCTTCTCTCCTTTCTGTTGGTGTGACTTTGTAAATGATCGAGGTCGGACCGAAACGTCGTCGTAAGCTCCTCTCTCCTATGTGAGGGTTATTTGTGTATTAAGTTACTTACCAGAAGAGAGACATGTGCAGCAGTTGAGTGTCTTTGTTGTTGACTGCAACGTTTCGCCCTACACAGTAGGCTTGAAGAATTAGATACATAAAGAATTAGACACACATGCATCACCTTGGTATCTTTATTTGTAGACGTTTCGCCATCCAGTGGCTTTATCAATACAAATTGAGGGATATAATCGGAAGACAGCAGGCTTCTTCAGTCATATACAGAGGCAGCTGACGTAGTAGCAAAATAAACACGAGACAGTCAGTCCATCAAACGTGGAGTGATAGTGTTTAAATTATCGGTATCGTATACCACTTTCAGTAAACTTACCAGTGGTACAAACCTTGGTAGTGGATACCAACAATTTGGTTAAGACACGTGAGCAAACACTACGACATAATTATTAGAAAACTTTTCACTCCTGGGAATATCAAAATTTCTAAGATATTAGCATACATGATACTCAGCCAGGCAGATTATTATTATTATAATCAAGGGGGAAGCGCTAAACCCGGAGGATTATACAGCGCCTGGGGGGGGGATGTGGAAGGCATTCAGGTTTAATTCGGGGAACTGGAGCACAGATCCAATTCCCTAAATCAAGAGCCCCTCACCAACATCAAGGAACCTTCCTTGAGGGGTCAGCCAGGCAGAGCACATTCTACCCAACAACACAGGAGTCGCATGATACCATTGTCTACCTGTCCTTGTCCCAGTATGGTAGTCTTCAGGTTACCATGTGTCACTTACACCTCACTTCAGGTTACCATGTGTCACTCACACCTCACTTCAGGTTACCATGTGTCACTCACACCTCACTTCAGGTTACCATGTGTCACTTACACCTCACTTCAGGTTACCATGTGTCACTCACACCTCACTTCAGGTTACCATGTGTCACACCTCACTTCAGGTTACCATGTGTCACACCTCACTTCAGGTTACCATGTGTCACACCTCACTTCAGGTTAGAATGTGTCACTCACACCTCACTTCAGGTCACAATGCGTCACTCACACCTCACTTCAGGTCACCATGCGTCACTCACACCTCACTTAGGTCACCATGCGTCACACCTCACTTCAGGTCACCATGCGTCACTCACCTCATTTCAGGTCACAATGCGTCACTCACACCTCACTTCAGGTCACAATGCGTCACTCACGCCTCACTTCAGGTCACCATGCGTCACACCTCACTTCAGGTCACAATGCGTCACTCACACCTCACTTCAGGTCATCGTGCGTCACACCTCACTTCAGGTCACCATGCGTCACACCTCACTTCAGGTCACCATGCGTCAATCACACCTCACTTCAGGTCACCATGCGTCACTCACACCTCACTTCAGGTCACCATGCGTCACTCACACCTCACTTAGGTCACCATGCGTCACTCACACCCCACTCTCCCCGTATATAATACTATCTTCTTAACCTCTGTATGTTAGAAGTAATCAGGGGTCTCAGGACCGAAACGTTTCGACCTAAATATGTCCAAGTGTTTGTTTACGTGATTCTATAAACTAAACTTACCAGTACCATTAACATCACACCTTATATAAGCCTCTAAAAAAGGAGAATGCAATGCCAACTCACTATTTTTCTGGACAAATCGAGACTTACGCAAGCCAGTTGTGGATATAGAGAAGATCAAGGCTGTTAAAGGTATTGGATTACCAAGCCACTGATTGGAAACTAAATCCAGTTGTGGAGATATCTTGGTTTTTGCCGAGTCATTTGACAAATGTGACCATGGAGTGGTAACTCCTAAAACGAGGTCAGTGGGTACAAGAGGAAGAGAAGGAAATACGTATTCAGTTTACTTACACATAAAACATGGAAAGTGGCTGTAAGCAGAAGAAAGTTGATTTCTTAGCGAATTATATATTTAGTACTATAATAGACAATAATAGTACTATAATAGTACTATAATAGACAGTAATAGTACTATAATAGACAATAATAGTACTATAATAGACAATAATAGTACTATAATAGACAATAATAGTACTATAATAGACAATAATAGTACTATAATAGACAATAATTGTCAGTGGAACGCCTTCCAACTGAACAAAAGAAACTAATGGAAAAATAAATAAATAAAGAAATGATTTAAGGAAAAACAAGATAAAATGATTTTTGAGAATTTTACTTAAAATTTAAATATAATAAAAAAAATATGGCCTTCAATTCAGGTAGTTGGGTAGGAGTAGGTATGGCCCTAGATAGTTCCTCTGATGTTATTTATGTAGGTTATCCTGGGCAGATGGTAATCCGATGTTCTGGAATCTCCTACCACTTGGATGGAGCACAAGTAGTATAGGTAAGGGCCGGTAGTTGTAGAATAATGTTAATAAGTATTATTAACACACGTCTTGCCCCTTTATCTGGCGTCTATCCTGGAAGACCACGCCAGGAACAGAGCTGGTAAATAAGAGAAAATAAACTGGTTACCCATAGTTATGATAATATAACATCTAAGAAAGAAAAAGAATGATAAAGGCCAAAATCATTACTGGTAACCAGCAAACACTAGAAAAGAACAAACAGTAATACTCCTGGTAGATCACCCCACCTGATTAGGAGAAGAGTGGAGGCGAAGTGACTCTCCAAACTTCCATCCACACCAGGTAAGGTCAATATTACCAGGAGTAGAAACTTTAACAAATCGGACACCAGGAACTAGTTTTGCCCCAGCCCGCCAGAGAGGGGGGGGGTGTGTGCGCGCGCAACGTAACTCTCTAATGGTTCCTGGTTGCCCGAACAACCTTAACCCCACTTACACCTACTTTTCCCTCACAATAATAGTACTATAATAGACAATAATAGTACTATAATAGACAGTAATAGTACTATAATAGACAATAATAGTACTATAATAGACAATAATAGTACTATAATAGACAATAATAGTACTATAATAGACAATAATAGTACTATAATAGACAATAATAGTCTAGCAAGCTATCCGGTGACGTCATGGTATTCAGCGTGAGGAGGCGGGTGAATACCGTTGGTATACAGCTTGTTCGGGGGGCGATTACGCCTGAGAATGAACAAGTTTTGCTACCCAAGATTATCCGTGACACTTATGGTATTGCGGACAAGGATTTGTACGGTGTAGCATTAAATGGCGCATACCGGATATTTGTAAAACTACTCTACGAGCCAGTGTACGAGCAGCTGGTTGAGCAGTTCCAAGATCTCTGCGTAGATGTGTCCCCCTGACGTGCATGTGCGTATGGTGGATGTCTCTCGACAATATACGTGGGTGAAACTGCGCAATGTGCCCTTCGAGGCCGATGCAACAGATCTCCGCAGTGTTTTCAGAAGATACGGAGTGATACATATGGCTAAACAAGGCATGCGGGTGGCTGGGGCGTATGTTGGTCTCCCAGACGGTTCGTTTACCCTCAAGATGTCTCTACGCCAGGCCATACCATCGTATGTGTACCTTGATGACTTCCGCACACAGGTCACGGTGTCTTATGCTGGTCAACGACGGACGTGTCGCCTCTGCGGTGAATATGATCATATGGCAGCAGAGTGGGGGGCAGCGCGGGCAGGCCAGAAGGCCGGCGGTGGATCAACGAATGACGATGGGCAGGAGGCTCCCATACGTGGACGAAAAGGAGATGGTGGCCGCGGTCGGCTTTGGAGTGAGGAGATTGAGGAGCCAGTGGTGGTGTCGAATCTGGAGCTGTCGTCTCTCGTGTCGCCTGCATCGCCGGTGGTACAGCAGGCTTCCGGGGAAGACCAGGTGACGGTGGAAGTGGAGGACTTGGATGCGACAATAGCGTCTGTTTTGCATACCATGTTCTCATCTACGGATGTGGTCTCCCCGGCTGTGACGACGGCCAGTCCGGAGATCGTGTCTGTGGCGGTCGAGCAGCAGCAGAAGGAGGTTGTTGGTGCTGGTGGGGCTGGCGGGGACGTGGTGACCCCTCGTCAGAAGGCAGAGACGAAGGTGGTGGTGGAGGTACATCGTGTGGACGATCCGGTCACAAACATGGAGGAGGATGCTGGGACGAGGAAGAGGGCTGCAGCATTGTCGGACTCTGACGACGTCCTGACGCCGGCTCAACGAACAGGGAAGAAAGCATCGGTAGATGGGGAGGGGCGGTGTGCTAGTGGAGGTGAGCAGCGACAGCAGGTGGTGCCAGGTGGCACGGGTGTCGTGCGTGGAGAGCATGGTAAACGTGGCCCCCAGGGCCCAAGTGGGCATGCAAAAGTACAAGTGGGGCAGCGAGGGAGGAAACCTTAGCCAGGTGTGAGGGGGGGTTTAGACAGGGGCGGGAATAGTCGTGGAAGGTGTGATGAGGTCTGCTGCTTGATGGCAGCGACGGTTTCATGGCGTGTGTGTCTGGGGGCACCAGATAGCGTGCTCCTTGAGAGAGGGGCATGTGCCCAGTGTTAGGATGAAAGTGGCTTGATATGTGCTGTTCAGATGTGTCTGCAAATTGTGGAATGTGAGTAGTGTTAGGTTCTGGTTAGAGGTGTTGCTGCCTGCGCCTGTGTGCGCCCAAGGTACGCTGGTGCGGTTGAGGTGGCATGTGCTGCTGCTGTGTGTATGAATCTTGGACTATATGTTGTATGATAGCGGGTGGGGTCTGTATGGTGGAGGTTTGTGGAGCATTCTTATGTTCTATGTCAAGTATTAGGTATGTATTTTATACCTATGCATACACAATGTATAAAAACACTGGTAGTGTTACTTGTGCAGGACCTGCTGTTATGAGGCCTCTTGTTTGCACAAGGACAGACCCTTTGTAATTACTTGAGGATATTTGTGAAATGGGTGTTTATACATGTACTGTATCAATGTGTTACGATGTTGTATTCTTTTTCTTTACTGTATAATTTGTATGTTTGGTTGTGAATAGGTTTGGGTGGGACATGCAAGGGGTTGGGGGTTGAGGCTTCAAACACGTTGTGTTGGTGATAATTTTTAGGGTAGGTGTCTTTCCTGTAGTGAAATACTTGTGTGCTACATGCCTTTTATGTTGTAGCAATGTAATGTTTGTTGTGATATATATATCATGTAATTCTGTTGAGTAGCTTCAACAGGTTTGGGTTAAGTGATAGGATGAGGGAGCAGGGAGGGGGGGGGTGTACCCACACGGAGTTGTAAGTGTGGTGTGTAATATTAGCTGTAGGGAGGATTGTGTTAATTTAAAGACTTAAATGAGTTTTACATATATTTTTGTAATGTCATGTTTTAAATAAAATATAAAAAAAAAAAAAAAAGACAATAATAGTACTATAATAGACAGTAATAGTACTATAATAGACAATAATAGTACTATAATAGACAATAATAGTACTATAATAGACAGTAATAGTACTATAATAGACAATAATAGTACTATAATAGACAATAATAGTACTATAATAGACAATAATAGTACTATAATAGACAGTAATAGTACTATAATAGACAATAATAGTACTATAATAGACAATAATAGTACTATAATAGACAATAATAGTACTATAATAGACAATAATAGTACTATAATAGACAGTAATAGTACTATAATAGACAATAATAGTACTATAATAGACAATAATAGTACTATAATAGACAATAATAGTACTATAATAGACAGTAATAGTACTATAATAGACAATAATAGTACTATAATAGACAGTAATAGTACTATAATAGACAAACATTCAAAACTAGGGAAGAGGCGCCATTACATACACCACACACACACACACACACACACACACACACACACACACACACACACACACACACACACACACACACACACACACACACACACACACACACGCACACACGCACGCAAGCACATGGCCGTGTACAGTCTCAAACACATATACTCAATACTATATGTACGGATTGGGATCAAACTCGCGGCAAGCGAGTCGTGAAACCTGTTTTACTCTCTGCCTTCCGTGATTCATGTACTCCCTGACACACTGAAGCATCATTCTCTCCTTTAATTAAGAGGCACCTAAGTACCCCCAGTCTTCAAATAACACGTTCATATTTCCACTATAATCTACCTGGTCTATAATTACTATCACATTGACTTAGTTTCGTAAGGTGAAGTCCAGGATCTTTCCTTAATTCATGGTATAACTTAACAAATCTTCGCTCAAACCTCTACAACACAATTGTCATCAAAGATTTGTTAAGTTATACCATGAATTAAGGAAAGATCCTGGACTTCACCTTACGAAACAAAGTAAATGTGATAGTAATTATAGACAGGGTAGATTATAGTGGAAATATGAACGTGTTATTTGAAGACTGGGGGACTTACCTGCCTCTTAATCTTCCTCTTCGTCTAGTTATGAAGTAATCTCTGGTGTGGTACTGTATTAAATGGTTTTTTTCTCTGCCGTCCAAGAAAATACAATTTTCCCAGCCTTGTCACTTTAGTTTGATCTGTGTGACTGTTGTAGAACCACATCAGACTGGTATTGCTGGTGTTCTGTGAAGGATATTGTGAGTGTAATAATGTTGGTAGAATTGCTGATAATATGTTAGGTAAAAGGACATAAGTGCAAGTAATGTGACATTTTATTGTGGCAACGTTTCACTCTCCAGGAGCGAACTGCTTGATAAAGCTCCTGGAGAGCGAAACGTTGCCACAATAAAATGTCACATTAGTTGCACTTGTGTCCTTTTACGTAAAATATTCCAAGTGTTGCAATATCTCTTTCCTAACTATCTTCTGTACTTTTGACAATATTATAATAATAATAATAATAATAATAATAATAATAATAATAATAATAATTAGGTCAACCTTCTTGGTGGGATACGGCGTTTTTGTTGATAAAAATATAGTAACAGTAATAATAATAATAATTACTGTTATTTTAGCAAGATAGTGTTTGTATAGAGATGGATGACGTATAGGTGTGCATGCAGAAAACCACTAGTTATGGATGTTAGAGATCCTGGACTGTATTTCAGGGGCTCTTGTCTGTTCTTTTTTATGTATGGGGATCCCATTTGCTGTTTTCCAGTTTTCTGGCAGCTGCCTTAATTATACAGATTGGTTAAAGATATTTTTTGCCTTGGGTTACACATTGTTTCTCTTCTCAGTACCAATGGAAAAAGATTGGTTGGTCCCATTGCTTCTGTTATGTCAAGCTTGAACATCAAAATGGTATACAATACCGACAGGTTGTTAGGTAAGACACATATGCAACAGTTAGACAACTTTATTCCGAAACGTTTCGCCTACACAGTAGGCTTCTTCAGTCGACTGAAGAAGCCTACTGTGTAGGCGAAACGTTTCGGAATAAAGTTGTCTAACTGTTGCATATGTGTCATGTCAAGCTTAGTCTTCTGTCTTCTTTTGTTATGTTGACGATCTCTAGCGCCTGTTGACCTATTCTGACTTCGTGGCTGGACACATGACCAACGGACGCTTGACCGACAGACATTTGACCGAACGGATAATTAGGTTAGGTTAGGTGATGAATGCCAGTTCGGCCACAGGGCAACGGGCCTCCAACATCAACAGCCTGGTTGACCAGGCTAACACTAGACGAGCCTGGCTCATGGCCGGGCTCTGAGAATATTAAAACTCGAAATTCGTTAAAGGTATATCAAAAGCTACATGTCCATTCGGTGAAGTGTCCGGAAGCCTCTGACTTGTGTTGACCAGTATCTCTCCATTTGTTATGTAAAATCTTTGCTAAGAATTTTGCATATTTCTCTCTCATTCTCTGCCATCTTTCCTTTATCAGTCTTTACAATCATCTTGTTTTGTCTTGTATGGCTGTGGAGTAACTCTGATATAGTTTAAGATTTTAACGTTTGTTATTTTTAAATGACCTCTCAGCTTCTCATCTCGACTGTTCATCTCTGGTGCTGTTTGATTCCTGGTCTCCCGTTATTTGAAGAATTAGCCACATGTGCAACGTCTGGGTATCCTTAATAGTTAGACATTTCAATATCCAGTGGCTTTATCAATACAAGGACATAATGTGAAGACCGTATATACAGAAGATGAGGTAATCAGTGCATCAGTCAGCCACACATGTGGAGAAGACATGATCAAGTCAGTCGTACATGTGGAGACACCATCAAGTGAGTCACACATGTGGAGACACCATCAAGTCAAGTGGACGTCACACATGTGGAGACACCATCAAGTGAGTCACACATGTGGAGACACCATCAAGTCAGTCACACATGTGGAGACACCATCAAGTGAGTCACACATGTGGAGACACCATCAAGTGAGTCACACATGTGGAGACACCATCAAGTGAGTCACACATGTGGAGACACCATCAAGTCAGTCACACATGTGGAGACACCATCAAGTCAGTCACACATGTGGAGACACCATCAAGTGAGTCACACATGTGGAGACACCATCAAGTGAGTCACACATGTGGAGACACCATCAAGTGAGTCACACATGTAGACGCACCACCAAGTCAACCACACATGTAGACACACCACCAAGTCAGCCACACATGTAGACACACCAAGTCAGCTACACAGGTAAACACA